GCGAGATATTAAAAGGACCATCGCGCGAGTACATTATTCCGTAATGGCGAAACGATTAGTCAGATCGCCGTTCGTATAGGGAACCCTAACGCGGCGCTGACAGTTGCACGCGCAACCTGCACATGATTAATAATCATGCGCCGTCCGTCGTTATCGGCGCGCGACCGTTATCGCTATCTTCCGCTTATCTGCTCGCTCACTTTGACGCGCTTGGCCGCGCCATTGTCGGAAATTAATCCGTTCAGAAAGAGAGACAGAGACACACACACACACACACGGGGCGAGTGTACGCAAGCGGTTAGTAATGTACCTGAAATATCTATTCGAGTCACGTCCCACCTCTCGCGCCATTAAAACTTGGTTACTCGGGATTCGATGATCTTGTCTGGCGAATCAATAATTAATATTTCCGGTCTTTCGCTTTTCTATGTACGTACACATCTACGAATCAATTTTGCGTTTTCTCGCTCGATATAGTTGCTGTTTTAACAACTTGAATTTTTTAATCGAATTAACCGTTCTCTCGAAAAATGCGATACGTGCGATTTGTTCGATCGCTGTTTTTTTTTTTTTTTTTTATCATCTTTGACCAACAATGGTCGTGGCGATTAATACGCGCGTACAGGTTCCGCGCCTTTTCTGCGGAAGAGGAAGTGGTTCTTGTGTGACGGTTGATGAAAATTCCGGCGAATCGCTGCGGCTGATTGTACTTTAATACGGTGGCGCGCGCGATGCGCAGCACGCCGTGATGGACACGCCGCGATGCGCGCGGGCGGGCCGACATCACCGCAGCGGCGTGTGCAGCACATTTTTCGAGACGAGAAGAGGAGGAGGGCGGGGTCGGAAAGAGGGAGTTGGGCGAGACCGGGACAAGGGATGAATTATTCGTTGTCTCTTGCACTCTGCACCCTCGGACACTGACGCCACGTTATCCTGTCTACCATGTCGACCTTCTGCCGCTGACAGTGTCATCCATAACGTCCGCAGCGAGCGAGCGCGCGCGCGAGTGACATTTGCGCCTCGACGATCTTTTCGCGAGGAAGAGTTTTCTGCCGCGCGCTTATCTTCCTCTCTTTTTCTGGCTTTCCGCGGAAGCGAACTTTATGAGGATTTACCTGAGAAAATTCTTTCAGCTTTTCCCTCGCGCAAAAATAAACACGGAAGTTTAAAGAGAAAACACACTCGGATTGAAACAACGGGGATTAAACAAACCCCGAAAAAGAAACTGCAGAAGGAAAGAAATTAATAAAAGTTAGTCCCGAGCGATTTTCTTACCAGTTCGCTCTCTCCGAGATCCTGTCCGAGAGCGCAATAACGAAACTACAAGTGAGTGACAAACAGTGACTTCCTTTCCGTTGTTTTCTGTGTGTCCGCGAAAACAAATTTTCGAATCTCTTTCCGAGCCAGCCATTGACGTCGATATTTATTATCCGAAAATAAAATATCACAGAGATTTAGATGCGAATATGTATAAAGGGATCATCCCCCCTTGCCCATTCGCGCGCGAGCATAGAGCGCGTTCCGCCGACGGCCACGAAATATCTCAGCGATGGCGGTAATTAATTGGCTCGTAAATTAACGCGGCAACAATACCTGGGCGGGTTTCTGCCCCCGAATCACGGAATTACCGGCACGCGTGCGAACGTAAGAATATGCGTGATGTATGCGGTATTTCGGCGGGGGTCACCCCCTCGTCTCTTCCGCCGTTATCTCCCCCTCGCCCCTCGCGTCGCATCTTCGCGAAGATTTGGAAACGCCGTTCGCGAAGTCCGTATAAACGCGTTTTGCGACGAGTTTGGTAATAACAACAGCGAGCTTTTTCCCCTCTTTTTTTCGATGACACTTAAAGTAGGTATATATAATGACGCAACTCGTAGTTTCGTCACGTGTGAGAAAAACAGAGACGTAAATTTCGTTCTCCGCGCGATTTTCTGAAAATATAAGAGTTCACGTGTTTTTACGGGGTTTTACTTCAATGTTCTTAACGGGAGGCGAGTGTCATATAGGAGTTATATGTATCGTATAAAAGCAGGTCGCAAAGGGTCACAAATTGAGTGCACCTGTTGCAACAACGCGGCAACTTATGTACACGCCTCGTAGGTACTTGACACGGCCGTCAAGCTGGAGAGAGAGAGAGTATTCAAGCTTTATAGCACCACCCGCGCTCTCGGAAGATCGTCCGAAAAATGTTCTGTGGAAAAAAAAAAAAAAAAAAAAAAAAAAAAAAAAAAAAAAAAAAAAAACAAACAAACAAACAAACTATGATATCGTGTGTCGATACGTTGCCACGAGTGACGAGATATACATTGCCACACGAGAATGCAAGAAGAAATATTGATATAAAAATAAAATGTTTTTCGCTTTTCCACGGGGTCTGCATAGCGTAAATTAAAAAACTTCAAAAAGTTGAGATCAATTTAACGCAAAATTGGTTTTTGTTAAAAATTAATATAAATTTAACAAGAGAGAGTCTCTCTTTTAATAGGCCGCATACTTTTGTCTGAAAATAGTTGATAAAAAAAAAAAAAAAAATGGAGAATATAAAAGTTACTTTATTATCAATGAAAAAAACAAATAACAATTAATACTTTTTTAAATGCTTCTCTCGAGACACGACGTGACGCGCGGTGAGGAATTACTCAATTAGCAGTTTAGAGGATTACTAAAATATAATAATCAATATACTCTACTATAGGTAACTGTCAAGACAATATCATCATGAACGGAAAGAGGGGGGGGGAAGAAGCTGTAATGGAGCGTAAAGCGGGCACGTCGCGTTTGCGCGCATCGATCGTGTTCGTTCCGTCGTTCATCGACACCGACATTTTTCCGAGGCCGCGCGTTTTTTTTTTTTTTTTGTCGCGAAACACGAATGATCGTTAAGTGCGTATATATATATACATATATATATATATATATGTGTGTGCATCGCGCAACAGATAAGCCTTTTTAACACTCGACGGGACTCGCGTAGCGCGCCGTAAATACATGTATACATGTGTATATACGCGCACGATGATTCGCGACGGTAGCGCGCGCGGTGTTATTGAGTGGAAGACCGATAACGGGGAACCGAGAAGCCACCGTCGAAATGTACAACATCGCGCGCTGCAACGACGAAACGCATCGCGATAACAACGTAATCTAGAATGCGGACACCAGCGTGTCGGGGGTAGGTATGTTATTGGCGCGCTCGACGTTGCGCGAGAGGAGAGCCAACGTACCGTGGAACGAAGACAAACGGATGAATTTTCTCGACGATGTATTTCTTGCCGGTGATCGCTGCAGTTTTATTCTCAAGCTGCTTCTCCACGGACGTGCGCCGTGGCAATTCCGCGCGCATTTCCTTGGGAATCATGGAGAGTTTGTATGATCAAGAATCCAATTTCTCTCTCGCGCTCGCTTCATCGCGTCGTGCAAAAACGACGCATACGAATTCGAAATACTATTATATATCTGCACGTAAAATAACTTTAAATAAAAAATAATAATTTATGTTTGTTTTATAATACGATATTAAAAAAAAAAAACTATATGCCTACAATTGTGCGCAAAATACAAATTGTATTTCGTTTCTTATTAAAAAAAAAAAAAAAATTCGAAGGCGCCGAGAGCGCGTCCAGGAGAACTTGTATTTACACTTGAATCTCACAAGTTCCGCGTGCGAAAAAATATGGACGTTTTTTTTTTTATGTAAGTATACACGCACAGAAATGACGTGATAGCCGAAGTGTTAATGCGCCTCGCGCACGTGCTCTCCTATTATTTATGCAATAATCGCGATGATGTCGACGATGTGAGACGACGCTTTCATGTGTGCCAACCCAGCCCGTCTCTCGTTATTAAAGTTCTTCACGTGTTGGCACTCGCATCGCGCGCTTATCTTCGCGAACGTTTTATCTGTGGTCTATCTCGCTCTCGTTTTACGCAAATCCCAAGTCGCATTCCTTTCATCGGTAACAAATGAGTCGTCCGCACAACGCCCGTATTTGCTTGTTGGCATCGGCTAGACGGAGACAGGGCGCAAATCGATGCACGCGCACATTGATTTATTAATACGATATAGCGCGCGCCGTACGGTAACGTCATACTCGCGCTCTCGCGCGGCGGTATATGCGATACACAGGCGGCGGCTTGTGTACACGATAATAGACGCAAAACTAGAAATAGATACTTCGCTTAATTTTAATTTAATGCTTCTTCAAGCTCCTCTTGGCAATTACGTCCTCTTTGCGGGACTGAATTTCGTTACAACAGAAATTCTAAAATTAATTGAAGAATAACATCGCGTTATTTATTGATTCCCGGAGTGTGCAAGTTTATTTTTTAATTTTATTTTAAATTGAAAACTTCGGTGACAATTTTCTTTCTTCGACTTTTAAACCTTTGTGTGTGTGTCGCGTTTGCGATACAGTTCGTAACTCAACGGCAAAGTTGATCAAAATTTGACCGCGGCGGTAAAGGCGGTAGACAGGCAACGACGGGAGGTTGGGCATAAGAAGCTCGAGTTGCTCGAAAGCTGCATTACCAAATAAAGGGTTAAGTAGTTGCGGCGTCTGGGTGCGCGTCAACACACACAGCGCGGAGCGGCAGCATTATAGGAAGACTCTCGGTTCGCACGAGCTGTATCGGCTTGCGGCCGGGCCCATTAGCGTGACGCGATGCATCGTCTACATAAATATCCAGCGACGCTGCGGCCGATGCCACCGGTTGCCACTTTGCGGCAAACGCGAGCGAGCGAGGCGGGCGAGCGACAAACGTGAGCAAACACAAGCGCCGGGCGCAAGCGCACTGACGTAACGTTATATCACTCTCGAGGCTTTATACATACTGTATCGAGAGAAAGAGAGAGAGAGAGGTCCCCACTACCCCCGTGAGCGCGGCTCCATGTGGCGCCTGAGCAGCCTCGGTGGGGGTAGAGCTCTCCTCTTTTCCGTGGGACACCCTCGACGTCGGCAACGACGACGGCAGCGATGTCAAACTCAGTCGCGAGTCGAATATCGTGTCGCTCGTGCGTGTGCGGTGGTGCAACGTGTGTCGCCGCGACACATCGTATATTGTTATCGCACGCGATACGATAAAGACAAAGAGCCGCGCGTTATCTCTCGCGAGAGCGACCGAGCCGAGAGCGCACCCTCACAGGTTCGTCTCTCATCGTGATTCTCATTTCCCCCTTTTTACCTCGTCGTCGTCGTCATCGTCGTCGTCATCGTCGTCGTTGTCCTCGTCGTTGCCTCGTGTCGCGATCGAGCCAAAATGGAAGAGAGAGTAAGTCGGATGAACAAAATCGCGCGTTGCTTTGTTGCGTTCGAGTCGATAAATGTTTAATTTTTTGTTTTTTGTTTTCTCGCGAATTTCCGATTATATCTCGTATTTCCTCGCGCGTAACGTTTTTCGCGGTATTTTGCGATACCGGCGAAAATAATCTCGCGATAGTATATTCGCGAGAGAATCCCGTGGCGTTCCGATATATTGGCGATCCCGACCGCGAGCCGTGACGGCGGATCCCGGCTAAATGCTCGCGTCCTTTTCCAACCGGGATATCGAAGATTCCCGGTGTATGTGCGTGAGCCAAAATCGATAATTTGTGTGAGGTAGACGCACACACACACACGAAACGTTCCGCTGTGCAGACGCGACGCGAGGCGAGACGAGGCGACGCGACGCCACGAGTCGCGACACTGTTGAGGGATCGCGACCTGTATGTATACGTTTAACTCTTGAATTTTTAACGAGAACTCTGATATTGGAAATATTGAGATATATATAATAAGTTATCGAGGAAGACTTGACATGTTTATATATGATTCTTGTTCTACTTGTAAATTTTTGTCACTTAAAAAGTTACTCGAATTTTCTTTCTCGCGGTTTCAAATTTAATTGATCACATATAATGCATTAAATCGTGTGCGCCACGATTGTGTTAATCGAATTTGAACAGCATTAATAGCTAATTGCGTTAATTAAATTTGTGGAAATTATTCCACTATATTTGAGATAATAAATTTATACACCGCGCGAATTGCATATACAAAATTGGATTAGAAATCTGACAGTTCAACGTCTGACAGGTCCCAGCTAATAGGAATGTTGACCGATACACACACACACATACACATACACACGTATATATGTACATATATCAATATATACACACATATATCGATGCACAGACATGAAATTGCTGTCATTTCATTGCGCATTGCATCATGCGCGAGCGAGCGACGACTAAATTAACTTTTTGATCAGACATTTCTTGCGCCATGTGAACTGGTTGACTTTTTTGTTTTTTTCATCACATGTGCCTCGGACGGCTATGGTAAGATTCGCGTGTGCGACACGATCAGTAAATTTGTATTTTCGCGCCGATTGAATAAAACCGCGACGCGGAAAAAAAAAACATGGTATACGCGAGAAGGATAAAAGACGTGTGATTTCCCAGGAATGCGCACGGCGATCACGAATATCTGGTCCGCATAACTGAGGATCACGAGGGGGAAGCATGCGGCATGTAGAGCGCATACAAAGAGATTGCAACCTCGATGCAACCCCAATTGTGCTGATGCATCCCGACGCTCCGTGAGTCCGCCACCGATCGCGTTGACCCAACATCGTATCTCCATGTGGGTATATCAAGCACATAACACGTATAATGCAACACGCACGCACATATACATATATATATATATATGTATATGTATATAGATTTTCACAAAAATGAATTTTTTTTCATCATCGCAGCGCGCAAAAAACTTGCGCGATATTCGCTGTCTCGCATTTCGCGAAAAACCGAAATGTATTCGACGCGAAATAAATATGCATATCAATTTGAATGTAAAAGAAATCGCAGTTTTATCTTGGGAAGAGAGCAGAGAGAGAGAGAGAGAGAGAGAGAGAAAGAGAGAGATACATTTTCGCGCAACGGAACACATTTCTGTGCGGAGCGAAGAAAAATTTTGGAAAAGTATTTTTTTCTCCTGAAAAAAAAAAAAAAGAGCTCATATGGAAATATCGACCGTGTTGACTTTTACTTTGAAAAGCTGAGTGTTCGTTCTCTCCCTAGCGCGCGTGAACCATCTTTATTGGAGCGGACGTGTCTTATTGGATCGGTATTTTGCGCGTGTATTACGTACACAGACCGACGGAATCGCGCAAGAGATACATGAGGACGAGATGATAGTTATTTCGAATCCGATCGGTGGTGCTTTGCCCGCCGAACCGGCGAAACAGACTGGACCAGATGTTGTCTAAATCCGTATCCATCCGCCGACATAGACTTTCTCTCCTACTCTCTTCTCTGTTCTTCTTCTTCGTTTCTCTTGATACGTACTACTATTGCACTCTGCCATTTTCTTATCCCTACCGCTGTCATTGTCAAAACTAACGTTTTGAAGAGATTTCCACTTTTCTGTCTGAACTGTCTAAACACGTATATATATATGTATATATATGTACATATACATATATATATCTTACAAAACTTTTCACTCTCCCGCGACTCGCGGCGCAGTTCGACACAACTTTTTGAAACGTACAAATTTTCTCGTTCGGTATCTTATTTATAAAATTACTTACATACAATCGAGTGCAATGCGAGTTTTGATCCGATTGTTCGAATATGCCCGACATTCAAAGGAATAAATCGCGCATTGTCACGAGTTTTGGCGGATTTATCGCGCTCCGTCTCGCTCGCAATATTCGCTCGGTATAGTTGCGTTTACGGCGACGACGAACAGAGCGTATATTTCTGGCGGAATGTCAAGTGGGATAAGAAGAAGCATTTCTTAAAGTGGTAGAGAAATGTTCGAGTCGTCTCGAAATCAAACTTTGTGTGTGCGCGCGCGTGTGTGTGTGAGAGAGATTAACTTCTTCAAATGTATCGTTAAATTCGTTGTCTTTCATGAAAAACAAATGTACGTACGCGAACACGCAATTAAAATCGTCACGTTCGTTCGTTCGCGTCATTACTTTACTTTACCACGAGGGTTTTCACGAGAGACGTCAGAGCTTCGTCCTTCATTTTGGCGTTACGAGCGAGACGAGGGTTGTTGGCTCAGGTAGCTTGATGAGGATTAAGGGTGTGATTAAGGGTGTTTTTCTCGTGTTTAACCGAATTATTATTCGAAGAATATTCTCGACGCTTTGCGTTTGTTTAAGTAATTGTAAAAAATGAAGAAGTCATTTCGCACGTTCTGTTTTATTCTATTATTTTTTTACATACGTGGGGTCTTTTGTGTTAGTCTTTTTGCACGTCAAACTGCGTTTTTGCACGCGCATTTGATTTTTCATCGCGAGAAACGAAAATCTTGCAAAGTCTGACTTGCAAAATGAAAAGAGCAAAAAACGGAGAAACTCGGTACAATTTTGTTTTCCCCAGATATATTTATACGTGCGGCGCAAGGCCGGCGACCCGCAGGTCGAGACTCTTATGCCGAGATACCGTAGTATACCAAGCCAAAGAGGTGATTTGTCGCTGATTTCGCCATTATCGACATTATCCCGTATGTCATAAAACCGAATCGAATGTCTAAGTTTATGGTTCGTCGCGCGGAACGACAAATCACTCTAGACGTTGTTGATAGGCAAAACGATTACGTTTAAATCTGGTAATAAATTACTTGCGTGTGACCGGTGTGTAAAAACTACATCAACTCTTTCACATGTCGCTCTTTTGCGTGCGTTTGATTAAATTTGCCTGCATTACGGTTTGCACGCACATGTAAAAACATTTATTTAAGGAAAAGGGCCAAGGTGAACCAATGTGCAAATTGTGTGATTATAAATTTATATTTTAATACGTATCAAACGTTTTGATTGTTTTATTAGAATCTTCTTCAGTGATTAACTAAAAAAGAGAGAAAATTGCCGGTAAAATAAAATTGCACGAAAATACAGAAATATTGCATAAAAAAAATAAAAAAAATCTTACCAAAAAATGGAAAAGTAAATTAAAAAGTGGATAGCAGCGAGCACTATGTGCACAAAGTATAATTTAAGTCGTCGTTTAAGTTCCAAAAATAAATATTAATTAAATTAAAACAAACAATCAAATTATTAAAGAAATAAATACATGCTTAGTCAAAGAAATTAATAAAGTATTAGTGACAATCAAAAACCACTTCACAACGAAAGTTCTTAAAATAAACTGCTATACAACCTTTAAAGAACTTGCTTATAAATAATGTTTCTCTCAACTTAACATCAGACAACAAATTGCGTGAAAGTTCAAACCGAAGAAGCCCATTAAGAAATTGGTTGATGTTTAACTTTATATTGTTTTAATAAAGAGAAGTACGCGATTTTAACTTCTCAATATATCGCGTCCGTAATATTAATAAAATTGTCCTGTAATCTAACACGAAAAATTTCACACAAAAACCGATCTCTTAAAATAAAAACTCTGAGAGTTCACAATTTTTGTATCTTGCCGATAGAAATTATGTCGAGTGTCAAAATTCTATTTTTTTCTAGCTATTGATCTGATTTTTGTGCACAATAATTTTAGTTTTTAACTTCTATTTTGCTTGATCAACATAGATATTCTCACAATGGCGCATTCAAATTTGATTTTGTAACATTCTTGATCAAGTTTTGTCAGATCTTTTAATACATTTAATGAATTAATTAATTTATTGAAGTTTCTAAATATATTAATAGAATTCTCTTTTTTATCAAGATAGAAATGATATGTAAGCAAGATTGTCAATGAAAGGGATGATAAATTAATTTACGTTAGATCCTGAGAAATCATTGATTTTGTTATTTTCGTCGACAAATGAATTGAGCTTATTATTGTGACTAAAACTTTATTTTTCATTTCTTTAACAATTAAATTCAAAGCATTATTTGATGATAATAAGTTAATTATAAAATGTAAACTTTTAAATCAAAATTAAAGGATGAAAGATAAAAGCATCATTCTGTCAATCATTCCTATAATAGTACCAAGTTTTTTGTAGAAAAGTAGAATAGTGGAAAAATTCAAACATCTACCAGAAAAGATAGATCAGTCAGATACAATTTTATCGTTGGATTTAATCAATTTGACATTTGAAAAACTCAATTCATTATCTCAATTTTTGGTTTTCTATAAATATAAATTGTAATCTATTAGAAATCACTGGAAGAATCTAAAATAAAATACTTGATAACTCCGATTAATAACTTACAATATTTATCAGATTATAAATACGTATACCGCATTATTTTTATGATTTTTGGTAAACGCGCGCGCGCGCGTGATACGATGGTTATAGTTTCTTTGCAGTTTCCAATGACGAGCTCGATGGAAGTTGGAGTCGGTTCGTGGACAACAAAAGCCGAACGCGAGAAAGAGAGCGAGTGTCCTCGCGCTTTTGCAGGTGGATGTTCGAGTAAAAAAAAAAAAAAAAAGAATGAAGTGAGTGAGAAAGAAAAAAAAAGAAGAGAGCGGGAGCGGAGAGCGATACAGTCTTCGACTGCGTAGCTTTCTCATTATCGCGATTGTTCCGCAATGGATACCGACAATGGTCTACACAACGACGATTTTTGTCGTCTCAGCTCTCGAAAGAGGAACAAGCTTCCTCGCCTCTTTCCGTCTCATTTGCACAACCTCCTCTTTCCCTCTCCTTTCTTCTCCTCTACTCTCCTCACATCTTTTTGTCGAGAGATTGAACGTAACTGAAACGAGGTTACGAAGTGTCAATATTACATCATCGATTTCCATCTTCTTGTTTCCTTTCTCGAGACAAAGTTTCGTCTCGTTTTGAAAAAGAAGAATTCGATGAAGTCGCAAATTAGCAATAGTTCAGCAAGAAAACTAAATTAATGTGACAATTGTCGGCGACGAGAATCGATTGCGTTTGTTTGTTTGTTTTTTTTTTTGTTTTTTTAAAGTTTGTCGAAAAAAAGTACATCAGACAAAACGCTTGGCGCGCATTCAACAGCGGAGCTGCCGGATCCAGCTCTCGGTCCGGCATTTCGGTGTTGTATTTTCTTTCCCGAGAGACTCTCTCGTTTCTCTCGCGAGAGACCGTAGATAGCTTTACGACGCTTATTCGTAATAAATTCGCTCGAATTTCTTCATGCCGATGAAACGAGAAACGTACATACCTATTCATAAACGGAGAACTCGATCCGTTCATGTGAGAATACACAACCGAGTCCGGAAGAGAGAAGGTATGCGCACGCGCGATCGATAGAGATCGGTGCCGCGGAGCGACAGTCGTTCAATAATCATTATCCGCGCTTAGGCTGAGAGAGCTACTGTTTGATGCATGATACGAGTTATATCGAGATGAAAAATTCATGGCGACGACGCGATGTTGCTTTCGCCAAGTTTTTATTTATCTTTTGTGTACCGCCATGTGTAAACCGAAGTGTTGTAACATTTTGTAAGTTTTTCACTTTAGCGAAGATCTTTCGTGCGCTTATTTTGAGCTTTATATCTCATTTTTGTTTTTGTTTTTTTTTTGTTTTCATCCCCGGAAGAAACACAAGGCGCTTAATGTTTTTATCAAGATTATTGCTCCGCGGATTACTCCGTTAAACGCCAAGTTAACTCAAAGTTTCGCGAGAAGATCAAGAAAAAAGTCTCAATACTCCGAATTGTCAAGATCGTTCGTGGAAAGATTCAGTTTTCCAC